AATCATTTATAACAGGAAGGTTAAATTGAGTAAAAAAAATAATATCAGTAGAAATTGATATTTTATATATTACATTATTAAATGGAAAAGCAAGATTTTCTGATACAACACAACATGCATCAATCGAATCACACTTGACGGAGAAGTTTCGGAGGATGTGAAAACCTTTACATATCTGGGCAGCATCATCGATGAACACAGTGTATCCGATGCCAATGTGCAGGCATGGGTCGGCAAAGTAAGAGCAACATATTTACAACTGAAAACCATCTGGAACTCAAAACAATTGTCAACCAACACCAAGATCACAATTTTCAATACAAATGTTAAAACATTTCTACTGTATGAGGCGGAAACCTGTAGAACTATGAAAGCCATCATCCAGAAGATATAGGTGTTTATTAACAGTTGTCTACGCAAAATACTTCGGATCCGTTGGCCAGACACTATCAGCAACAACCTACTGTGGTAGAGACCAAACCAGATTTTAGCGGATGAAGAAGTGCTGGAAGTGGATGAGAAAACACATTGAGGAAATCACCCAACTGCGTCACAAGACAAGCCCTCACATGGAATCCTGAAGGCCAAAGGAAAAAAGGAAGACCAAGGAACACATTCTGCCGACAAATGGAGACAGACGTGAGAAAAATGAACAAAAGTTGGATGGAACTAGAAAGGAAGACCCAGGACAGAGTGGGTTGGAGAATGCTAGCCGGCGGCCTTTGCTCCATCGGGAGTAACAGGCGTAGGTAATATTATTATTGTTAAATATTCAAGCGAAGATAAAGATTCTTATGATCTTCTATTTGCTTGACCTCTGGTTACAGCTTTGGTAGGAAATTGAGCTTTCCCATAAATGCAGAATCTGAGGGTTAGGTTAGTAGGTTAATTGTAATCTATGGTTGGACATATTTAGTAACACGGTCCAAAGTTAGTCGTAATAGTTCGTATACCTTCACCACTTACTTTCTTCTAGAATCGTGAGTTTAGATTAACTGAGTAAATCCCATTCGTTGATTACATTCGTTCCATTTGAATCATGAATCTTATGTTTCCACTCCGATTGGTGTTCGTTTTTGTAATATGTTTCGTATATTGTTATCTACCCTTCTCGTCGTGATATCAAATATTGGTAATTTGAATCGATACATATTAATAATAAGTCCTAGGTGGTGGACGATTGATTGACATGAATACCAAAATGGAAGGCTTGTCGCATTAATTTTGCTCAAGGTTTGAGATATTAAATTAACATTCTGACCTAAGTGGAAATTAGATGTGGCTCAATTAAGTCATTATGAACTGCATATGAGAGTATGATGAAGAGTGAAAGAATTAGCTGGTAGAAAGGAAGGTGTAAAGTGATTTTAATCTCATGGTTTAAGGGAAGACATGGAATGTATACACCTACTCCATTATCGATTCTGAATCATGTCACGAATAGTCTCCAACCATTAGTTACGATAGCCACGCGGACCTCAACCAAGTAGTGTGCATCTATAAATATGGTTCAGGACGGTGGCCACATTCTCGTTTAGCCGCCCCTAACTCTCAACCATCCCCAACACCAGTCCGTGTTGCGCTTCGTGGTAATCTATGCTCAGGCATACGTGACCCAACCATCTCAGTCGATGAAGATTAACAACTGACTTGACATCAATCTATAACAACATACGCATAACTTCACTATTATTAACCAGTGGTCTCAGAAAATGCGAATATCCTCTTCACATAATGGCCACGTTTCTTAGCCCTATAGTAAAACTGGATAAACAGCTACGCAATATACTCGTCCTTTATTTGATAGACGGATATCTCACCTTCAACATAAGTGACATAACTTGACAAAAAAAGCGGTTTCTGAATTTATGCAGCGATTTCATCAGATATCAACCCATTAGGGCTGATAACACTTCCAAGATAAGCGAAGTTGTCAACGCGTTCGACTACTTCACGCTCTATCCTTAGTTCAGGCGTTGACACAGGTCAGTTCTGAAGCAAAAATTTGCATCTAGAGGAGGGAGAAACTCATCTCAAACATCCCGTCATTCCCGCTCAGTGCTATCAAAAGATTCAACATTTTATCAGCATCTTCACCAAACAAGACTATTTCGTCTGCGTATTCTAAGTCGATAAGTGGACCTCCTGATAGGAGATCAATTACCCGAAATCCAGACGATGAGGACGTTATTTCCAGCAGTAGGTCTACGATGAAATCGAACAAAAGTGGAGATAGTGGACAACCTTGTTGTACACCAATTAAGGCTGTAAAGCCAGATGACAGTTCGCCATAAGCTCTGACTCGACTGGTAGTACTCAAGTAAAGAACCCTCCCGAGATACTCTTTCCAATGACAGACACTGCCACTGAACCTCTCAGTCTACAGAGTCAAATGCTATTTTTAAGTCAAGAAAAACCACCATTGTTGGACGCCGATAAACATGCTTGTATTCTAAGATCTGATGAATGGTGAACATGTGGTCGATGCAGTCACGACCAAGTCTGAAGCCAGTCTGGTTTTCTCATATTTGCAGTTCATGAGTCTTCCTTAGGAGCCCGATAATTATTGAGGCTAGTATTTTAGACGCTATATTAGTCAAACTAATCCCTCCATGCGAATATTCCTCAAGATTAGGACGAATAGCTTGACAAAAATTGGGCGCCGAGTATAGAGAAGTCATTATATGTCAAATTTATATTTGAAATAATCTCAGCAATTGAAATTCAAACAATTCCAATGTTTGATTTTGATTATTACCCTGAAGAAGTCCGGACAAGTTAGATGAACGAAACGTTGGAATTATTTAAATTTCAACCGCTGAGATTATTTCAAATATAATGTTGCAGAAACCCCATTGGTTTTTCCTAACGGTTTAGTTCAAATCACTAATAGATGTGGCTGCTGTTTTCATAGATGTTCGTATATCTTTCCAGGCAACATCTTGGTCAATCTCGTTTTCAGAATTACACAAGTGTGACCCCAGTTGTTCCTGAAATTTACCTTTGGCTTTCTCACCGCTAAGTTAAACTCTTATGGGTCTTCTTGATATGGCTTTTCTGAGTCCAGTGAGGTGCAAGCGAATTCGTGCTCGTATTGGGGCATGATCAGAGTCTAAACAAATATTCCAGAACGAGAGGCAGTCACCTATTGTGCATATCCAATGATGACTGACGGCAATATGGTCCACTTGAGTGCATCGTTGGTTTGGTTCAGGGGGTCCCCATGTTAGACGATCTCTCTCTTCATGTTTAAAACTAGTGCTTGTTAGAAATAAACGATTTTCTGAGCACAGTTGTAGCAGACGGTCACCATTACCTGATCGCTGAGCCAAAATGACCACCTAAAAGTCTCTCCGTTTGGTTTAAGTTACCTACTTGAGCATTAAAGTCACGTGCTACGAGTACCATGTCTGAGTGTTTAGCTTTTTGAGGAAGCCTAGAAAGCTTACTGCAAAATCCATCATTCACTTCATCCGGGTTGCAGTCAGTGGGATCGTAGGCACGGATGACGAAAAGGCAACGACATGTATCCTTATACTTCCGAATTCTTATGGAGCCGTTTAGCCGAACAGCACACAGACGACTGTTAAGAGGAATCCATCCTAAAAGTGCTTGTTCTACCCTCATACTTAGTGCTATGCCTACACTCGTCAGTCCACGAGAATTAGCCACTGGGTCGCCAGATACACAGAGGGTGTATCTCGTCGGTTCCTCTTCTAGGTTAGGTGACGTCAAGTGAATGACCACACTAGAATCCTGTGTGTTTCGAACACACAGCATACACCAACGGTACGAGATTCTAGGGTCTTAGCCAAGGAGGCCTGCTGGCCGGTTTGGCATAGGGTACGTACGTTGAAGGCTCCAAGGTGTAGTTTGGAGTGACGTTTCAGTAGAACCGGGACAGTGTTTCGAGCATTAGAATTGGTGACACTTGAGGAGGAAGTCGAAGAAAGAGGTTTGGAGTTGATAGCCAAGGTAGGAGTAATAGAAATTAAAGAGGGAAATCGATTATGAATACAATGGTTTAAAGTGCTGTTAGAGGTATGAGAGAAGTTATAACTTCCCGGTTATTCGCACTGTTGAGAGGTTCTTCTAGAGTTGCCTGAAGAGGAAATTGGGTTAGAGTTTATCTTAGTGACCTGAGAGCGTGACCACAATGCCCAAGGGATAACCGCTTGAGGCTGGTCACAAAACGATATAAACTAAACTTTGACATTGCAGATCAATAGAAACAAACATTAGTCGCTGCACTACACCTCATTTCCACCATCATCGTTCTTGTCGAGATAAGCCTTGACTGCTCGATCCACTTCCTACTGAGTTTGGAACACACTATGGTAATATAACGAAGATTTGCAGGTCAATATGGATGAGTTTACTGGTGCTTTGTTCCCTGAACTAAATAGCTTAGTGGGAGCTCCGCAATCGAACCATCGAGCCGAGAGAACAACACATCATAGTAATGTCAGGAAGAGCTCAGGTTCTGAGTTCGTACGTGGGACGCAGATGTGAGTGTACCACGGACAACCGATTGCGAATTAATCGGTGTACCAGAATTAGTCATACTACATTAAAAACTCAAAATTAAGAAGATAAATTTTGACACGCCTTAGAACACAAATAGTATATTTCAAAGATTAACATTGTTCGTTAATTGGGCTAACTTCAACTAGGACCGAATTCCTTACCAGTCTCAGTCAAAGCTAACTAATGAAACTTTTATCAGCCAAATGTAGAGAAACATTTGGCCATCAGTTTTTAAACATTAATCCATTAAGCAGTCTGTGTCTAAACTTTCCGCTCTACATTGGCACCATTAACTTAAGGGTTATAGTAAGAGACCAATTTTAAGGAAACCTAAGACTTTTTTGAGTAACTCGTCCCACAACCATAAAAAACATAGGCATGGGGATATCCAACCATACATATATGGACACCCAACTCTTGACCATTTAAGGAACATGTGAGTTCGGGACTGAAATAAAATTTAGAACACGTGTGTGAAAGCCAACACTGATTGGATTGCAAGTGTAGTGATTTTAGGACTAGTCTCAGCCAACATCCACTGTTCATTGTGGTAGTCGCATTTCTGTCTCTCTGAACAGGCAAATATACATATATGCTGGGATTTTTGTTGCCTAAAATGCTACTGCAGCCCGAAAAGCACTACAAAAGTTGTAAGAATAAGAACATGTAGCAGATTTTAGGACTTTACTTAAGTGGAACCTGAGGACCCTATCGGACTTGTTAGGATGAGAGTTGCATATCAACAACAAGATATAAATTAGGGGAAAAGGTTAATAAAGTTCAATTAATTTGAGAATGAATACTAAATCGTTTATGACTGCTGACAGACAACATGTACTTATGAGGATAACTGAATGAATCATACGCCTAGTCAATTATTTTGGCTTTTAGAAAACAAATGTAAGTATGTACAGCTAAACATTAATCAAGGTTACCTACTTCCAGGACAGAGATCGGAGATGAAGCACTGTTGGGAAGAGAGCCTCATGAATAACTGTAGTTGTATAAGTTACACCAGAAAGTGTAGCGACATATCGTCACCCTATGATGCACATAATGCCTAAACATCCATCTTTTCCGAACCACATTCTTCATGTTTAGTCTTAGTCATTGACACTATTACTAAATGACTTTGGCTTATTTGGTATTCTTGTTAATTTCAACTCAACATCCCGAAATGGCATGGCAACTTGGGCTAACGCACATTTATGCTGGGCTGTACGTTGATTATGATAAAATGTATAACACCTATAAATATAGAAAATGTAGCTTTTAACATAAGCTGGAAAACATAACCTCCTGGTATATATTAAATAATCTATATTATGTACAATTTACAATGAAATTAAAATAACACGTTCACTGTACAGTTGTCTTTGCAGTTGCCTGAGCTTTTATTTTACGTATACGATGATATTTTTCAATATACAGCTTTACAAATGTGCTTATTTTTTCTGTATTGATTGAAGAAGTACCACTTCGCGAAATCTACAATTAACTAGTATAATTTTACTGATATCTCTTACCTTAGTAACAGCCTTTTTCATGATTTCTTTGTAATCTTCTTTATTTATACGGCGTAGAGAGTATGCAGGTTTTAAAACTGATTTTACTTCCAAGGCGATACGTTCTTGCCACTCACGACGTGAAGAAAAGTCGTATCTTTTCCGCTTTGCCAGTACTTCCTCAATCCTCATGTCTCCAAAAGGTTTCTTAATTTCCTTTTTATTTTCTCCACATGCACCATTAGGCAACATTTTATCACCGATTGCATTGTTAGAAAACGGATTGATTACTGTGGGGAGTGGAGGAGGTACGAATGAATGTGGTAGAGTAGACGTAGTTGGTGGCAGCTCACTATGTTGCTGGAACGGTAACGGTGGTGGAGGAGGAGGTGGCAATGGATCGGAAGAGGAAGTGTCTACATCCGTTCTTTGGCTACCGGCAAGTTGGTTTAAAAGAGAACTTGCTGCTGAACTTAACAGTTTGTTGATTTGCTTCATAGGAGAGCTCTCACAAACAGAATCAGGTTTCTCATTTGGTTTAGTACTTAGATTTAAATCACTCAAAGTATTACAAGGTAGACCTGCTCTGCTCATTAAGGTTTCTAAGAGGTTGGAAGCAGGAGCCTGCATCTGTTGCGCAAACGTAGGGGGTGGCGGTGGTGGGGGTGGAGGAGGTGGAGGCAGAGTATTTGTTTGGAAACCAGGACCCGACATAACCATAGGCATGCTCGGTACTGATTGCATGCACTGACCGGGAAAAACTGAATTAGCTCCAGGAAACATAGTTGTACTTAATCTGGGGACAATCAAAGGAGGTGGCTGCATAAAGTTCGGAGGCATTGGTGCACTGGGATATGGTATTACGCCTGATGGAAATGTTGAGGTGGAAATCCCCATAAGTCCATAGTTATTTTGAGGAAAACGCATAGGATTATAATTCATCTGTGGGATCCTGTGCAGAAAAGGAGAGTTGTTGCAAACAGTATTTTGCCACCTACTCAAAGGTTGGACAGTGGATCGCGGTTGACTTTGAAGGAATATATCGGCAGTAGCGTTAGGAACAGACATGGCATCACTAACCTCTGTTGGAGAGTTATTTGGTTTATTTTCTACGACTGTCTCAGGTACAGGCTGTTCCTCCACATGTTTTGAAACTTCCCAACGTACCGAGTCCAAACCTTTGTGTCCGTCATCAACGAAAGAGTCACGTTCCTTTGCTTTATGTGAGAAATTTGGTTCATCAGAGAACCTGGAAACACGCCTTTCATTACCCGACCTTCTTGATTTAGCTGGGGATCTGGAACGAGAACGTGGACCTGGGAGGCGGTCAACTACTCGAGAATGTCTTGGAGGTGTTCTAGATCGGCTCCGCCTGCGTTCGTTGGAACGAGATCTTGAACGATGCTTTCGAACACGGTGCCTTGAATGAGATCGAGACCTTCTACTCATTTTATCCTCGAACTTATTACCTCTTTTAGGAGAACGTGACCTACTCCTACGGTGATGCGGTTGGACAGACCGTTTGTGGACACTAGACGGTCTTGTGTGAGCTCGATAGCTATGTTTCGTCTCTTTGGGAACATTTTCTTCAATTGACTTAACTGAAAAAGGCGGAGCGCACCCTCTTTCTCCTGATGAATTATGTTCGTTGCTTACCTCAAAGTGTGATTCCTCCATGTTGTGGTTTGGTTGGGGAACATTAGTATCCTGCGTACAATCAAATGTATTAGAGTTGAAAAGTAATGGCACAACATCGCTAAGAGACTGGTCAGGAGGTAACTGGTTCTGATTAGCATCTTGTTCCGGAGTTGCAGGAGAATTAGACTCTAAATCCATATCCTGGTCAGTCGGATGTGATGGACTGTAAGGATCCATGTTAAATAAATATCCAATACAAATCAATTTTTTCGGATCAAGATGATTGTTGCAATGTTAATCCCACAGAAATTCAGCACCATAGCTAACTTAGGTAAGGGAATCGAAAAGTCAGCATCTACTTAGGTGAAGAATTAAAACAAGATCAAGTCTCAAGGCTGATTCTGATTCATCAGTGAATGTGAGAAATATGTGACGAGAGTATTAAATTAAAGCAAGACCAATTTCACTAACCACCAGGAGCCAACATTTTTTCTCTTTGTTGATTGGTGTCAATTCTGTTTGAATGGAGTTAGTTCAAATGGTTATGGACGGAATAGAAGAAGCTTTTGCTTAACGGGCTTCCATGTATAGTAGCAGTGGATCGCCAATACCTTCATGCAGGAACCTAGGTATATTATTGATAATAGAGTTAAAAAGGAAATTGGTAAATCATAATAAGACGTTATCCTTAGTCCTTAAAATAGGTCAAGTTTCCTCTTGAAGGATTCCTGCGAAGTCTCTTGGACTATCTCAGTCGCAGCGAACTCCAACTCTCAAGGAAAAAAGGTTGGGTCTGTAGTCCGTTCTGCTATGTTGTGTCTCCAGTTTCTTGATGTTACCCTTAAATTTTGTATTGGGACTAAGCCTAAGTAGGTGTTTAATAGGATGTCTAGAAGTCTTAAGGGTACTGTAAGCCATTAGAGGGTCACTTCTAAGACGCCTATACTCTAATAAGTAAAGGTTCAGTGGTTGTAGGTGCTCTTCATAAGGTTTGAATTTGAGTCCCGAACTTACTTCCCGGATCGCCGTTGGATACTCCCTAGAGTGTCCTTATCCTTTTGGAATGGTCGAGGAAATACTATGTTTCCGTGCTCCAAATGGGGACGAATAAAACTGTTGAAGATTATGTGGAAAGTTTTTCAGTCAAACCGGCCAAAATTGCGCTTCAATGTTACCAGTGCAAAGTTTGCTCGGAAGGCGTTTTTGTCACAGCGTGAGACTTAAAGTCCTAGGGAACCAGTATTCGACTTCGGATACTTCTAGAGAAGAGTTTCCCAAGTTGCAACTGTAGTCAGTCGCAGATGGACTACTTTGCATTTTGAAGTGTTGAAGGTTAGTCTTTTGTAGTCTGCCCATCTTCGAAGTCGAGTCAGATCCTCCTGAAGTGCTAGTATATCCTTTTGGTCACGTACCTTTCTCTAAAGTTTCACATCATTAGCAAAAGGTAATAAGTCTGACGATATCTGTTGTGGAAGATCGCTCATGCAAATCAAGAAGAGAATAGATCCTAGTACCGAGCCCTTAGGGACCCCACAAGAACATCCCATAGCCTGAGAGAACGTGAAGTTAGCCGTAACCCTAAAATGTCGATTTTTAGATATGAAGTGAGCCAGTCAATTATAGGTGGTTTGATACTCAATTGTTTGAGCTTATTGATAAGACATATATGGTTGGCCCTATCAAAAGCTTTTGAGAAATCAAGGTAAATGATGTCAACCTTCCTCTTGCGATCAAGGATGCTTGTCCATCTGTACACCGCAGTCAGCAGGTTGGTTATACATGAGTCACCCTTCCTAAAACCGTGCTGTTGGAGTGAGAAGAACTTTGAGGATAATAAATAGCTGTGTAAAACATCGCATATCAGGGACTCCATAATTTTGAAGGTATATAGAGAAGAGCCACTGGTAGGTAACTTGAAGGTTAGCCGCGTCCACCTACTTTGAAAATTGGTATGATGTGAGCCAGCTTCCGAATTTCTGGTAATGTGCCCCGGTTTAGTGACTGTGAGAACATCACGCTAAGCGGCGTTTCCACGATTGAAGATGCTTCCCTCAGTATAGCAGGATGAACCATATCCGGGCCAGGAGCATTTTCTCTCCTTAGGTGCTGCAGTTTCCGGAACACCAAGTAAACGCTGAGGTTCACTTCGGAAAGTCCTGCGTAGTCGTAGATGAAGCTTTCATCATTATAGTTCATGTGTGTCGGCTGAAATGTTCTATAGTATTTTTCAGCCAAAAGATTAGCGTCATCACCGTCGTTATTGATTGGACCATTAGGATCTAGCAGTTAGGAAACTCTAATTTTGGCCTGTCAAAGAGAAGCTGCATAAAAGAATAGGCTTTTTGAATTGGAGACAACTTTATCTATATCCTTTATCTGGCACTGAAACCTGTCTTCTCTTATTGCCTTTGTGCATATGTTCCCTAAATGTTTGTGATGCCTGTAAGCGCCACTGTTATCAGTTCGTCTGTATTTTGCCCAACAGTGCCTTCTGCGACTGAGCAAACAAAGAATGAGATTCTTGATTATTGTAGGCTGCTTGTAGCCAAACGCGAGTACAGAAAGTCAAGGCACAAGCTAGACACACAAAAGGAAACAAACACTTGAAGAGGAGCATTACAGACGACAAGCACAAATAAGTGAAAGAATTAGCAATGACAGCTGAAGAAGCCGCGAGAGAAGGGAATATGCTATTTCTGTTGCTCAGAAGCTTTCAGTCTCGATCATGGCGAGATGACCCACGTGCACGATTCTTCACAGTAGTGAAGGCACTTCCACGCGATTTTAGCAGGTGAGTTTTGATTGTCTCCATATCTTCATGATTGCAAACATTGAGACCACTTAATCGTATTGAGGCCTCCAAATGCCACGGTACAGCCGAGAGTGGGGAGAGTCACCTTTCCCTCTCGAAATGCTCTCATATGGCCACGCGAATATATAGCCTCTGACAAAGAAGTCCAACTCACTGCCTTCTCGCGGCGGGGGTGTTGTTCACAAAAGTGAGAGGACTTAAAGCGAATGTCCGCCGCCTTAACCGGGTTGGTGGACATGGAGGATCCACCTAGGGGAGTTGGAAAACCCTGATTCCAAACCAAAGGTGCACATGGGCTCCAGTATCCTAAAGGAACTAATGGCATATGAACAAACTGTTGGTCACCGGCTACAAAGGGACTGCCCCCTAAGAAAACCACATGCTTCAGTCTAGGCACCTGAGCAGTATCACAGACCTCACACAAATCGAATGAGATTTGTGAGGCGCATATTTATCGGGTGCTTCTTTGTACAAATATATATGTGTCTAAATAAAATAAAATAAAAATCGTATTGAGTCGTTCCCCAATTTTTGCTGCTTCTTAGACCTGTGTTTCCTACCTTGTGTTAGCTTTGCCATTTAATCAAGTCGCCCTATCACATGCATTTTTAAGTACCTAAGCACAGACATGATTGTTGTCATTAGATAACAACAATAAGAAAGTTCAATAAATAAATAAAGGACATGGTGATAAAGTCATATAGAAATTCATACAGTTTACGCTACTGTTAGTTTTTCGGAATCGGTAAACGATCGTCCAACTTTGTTCTTCAACCTTCCACTGACTATTAGCATGTTTCCCCGTCAATTCTCCACACATGGTGTGAAGCTTCTTTATTGACCAGTTTGAGTTCTACCTGTTAACAAACATATCACAACCTCTCCTATCACAAAAATCAAGGTCTATCAACCATATTTTTCCTTTCTCTGCCTGTTTTTTCGCCTCCTTTCAGTGCCACGAATGCATCAGGCAGAGGTGAAATTTGGGACAGATAGGTGTTCGCCAAGTTCACAGTTCGTACCACATTCCATTTCTAAACAGATTATCACAACTGTGAAATCGTAGTAGAGAATCAACACAAAAACCCATTTATTTACTTATTGGTTTATTTGCAAGAATGTTCTTTTGAAAATGTTCATTGTCTATATCTGTCCGATAACATTATTTATGTAATGCCTTGTCTGTAAACCCATGTTTTAAATTGTTGATGATGCCCTTAATAATGGCTTGCGTCTGGTGTTTGTAATTGTGAATCCTAACCGATCGGTAAGGATTAGGCAAGTTCTTCCACGATGTCGAATTGAAGCACGGCGTGGCAAATGGAAATGTTGCTACGTATGCTAAAGATTATTCGTCAACAGGCTTTCGTTGAGGGCCACTGTAGACAAATTTATAGGCTCCACCAACATGTGCGAGTGGTTCTCTTCCCATTTAAAAATGACGCCGTAGATGAACTGGCTCCATTTGCCGATCGGATTCTGGAGGTCACCACAGCCCTTAGAGACGATGTTTATTCTGTCAAGGAAAAGCCTCAAGCTATGTCAAATGACATCGCATATCCTTTTAACAGTCCCACTCGTTATCTTAATGTTCATCATAATCACGGATGCTCCGAAAAACCTTGAAGAAGCCTGCCACGGAGATCTGTTTTTGGACCAAAAGAAGCGAGTAAGCCTAAATGGTCTTGTTGTCACAACACTTTTGGTAAGCCTTCCGAAAATTACAGGAAACCCTTCATTTTCCCCAGCCTCAAATCTTCCATTACATCAAACATTTGGGGATACTCTCCCTCCAGCCTGCGTTACGATGACTGAAGCTGGTAGATATGGCCGTCTGTCATACATTGCTGGTATAATGATGAAGATGTAGTATTTCGTCCACAGTGGTGAGAACGTTAACATCCTTCCCGAGAATGCCAACGATCGTTCACAAGTTCCTGTTTTTTATTTTACAGGCAGCAGACGGGAAATCAATCGCCATGTACAGCAGAAAACATGTTTTTGAGTGTGTTTACGCACATACAAAACGCTGAATTTTTAAAGTTGCAGACTTGTTAGGCTGAATCATCGGCAAACATAATACAACACCGCAATCTACTCGTCAACCCGAGCATGTGGAGGTCAGTAGACAGAGGCACTAAATTATGTGTTTGTAGACTTTCATTTTCTGATTGAACATTATGCGATGTCAGAATTAAACATATGGTTGATCCGTAAGTATCCTGATGCGTGTGTGGCTAGAGGTGTTATACATCGCATCATGACTACAGGACCACCTGTACCATCGAAAGCACACCGACTGTCTCCGTAAAGCTAAGACTAACTGAAAACGAATATAACCATATGCATGATACAGTCGCAAAACATCGCAAATGAATTCCTTTAGTATATGGACTCTAATAAAGCGATGATTGACATCCAGCAAGTGATCAACAAGGGCTTAGTACGAATAACACTTCCGACCATTATTTTTGACACTCATCCACGATTTGACAGAAGCCTAAAAAGGTACACCTGTCTTCTAAAAAGTCGACTGGA